TTTGTCTTTAAAAAAGACACAATTTCCTCACGTCTTTTATTACAGATTGATAAATAGTGCTCCTATTTCGCAATAAGAACGAATTATTTATCAAAAAGTTATCAAGAACGATCACCTAGAGGGTATCCTGCGACACACTTAGGCTCAAGCTGTAAGAGAAAATTCAAATTAGTAGAGAAATTAATTTTTAATGTTTAATTAAATGTTTAAAAGATATTTGGCTAAGGGATGTGTAGGTGAATTTATACTACTAACTATTGGTCGTAAAGGAATATTAACTTTATGAATTTTTGGAACTCCGCAAAAATGTGGTGTTTTACTATTGTGTGGAGTTAATTTTAATTTTTGAGGCGAAATACCCAAAAAGAAGTTTGTAAAAAATGAATCCGCCTCAACAATATAGAACTTATCTACAATTTCCTTAGCGATTTCCTGGACCAAACTTGTATAGGCTCAAGTCGCAGCTTCCGGATCTCGTTGGGGAAAGAAATTAAAATACAAAGCGAGCCAGAGATTCCCTTTGTGTCCCAGTTTTGTTCCGGCTTTCTCTCCATTCCGGACCGCCCGTTTCCACTTAAAGTTTCTTTTGACAGCTGCTATTTTGCTTATGGAAAATGCGGCGCATTGAACGAAAACTCCATTCCGGGGGCTTCGAGTAACTCTTCACATATTCCTGCATCAAGCCCTGGCTTGATCCAGCAAATACATTTTCGGCTTGAGACAGAAAACTCTAAATTGATCGGCGTAATTAAGCGAGTGTCTTTCAGAAAACACTTAGCTTTAATGGCTTTGAGCCCTGCGGGCCCTTTTTTCCGTTCCAATTTGGGCGTTTTATAAAAGGGCCGGACAAAAAGTAGCATTTTAATGATGAGAAGATGCGCCAACGGGGATAATTATTTCTGGCTTGGCGAAGTGGCCAGATTCGAGTGGAAGACTCGATCAAACTAGTCGATGTTGTTGCCGGGGAATAAACGCTCTTATGGGCCTGCTGCAAAATCCACTTGATCTAAATTTGCCGAACTCACAACTTTGTCAGTGAATGCGATTCGCCGGCGTCTAGATTTTATTCTATCCCGGAATATGGGACGGGAAAGCGTGTTTTCCATAAATTGGATATTTTCCGGTTTTTCAAAGGGTTTCTGTGAGCGTGGGCAATTCGGCGCTTTGCCTACTCGTCAGAGCTGCAAAAGCAGTGCGATCCTTTCGTTGCTTTTTAATTGACGTCCATTGTTTCCCCCGTTTTGCTTTGAATAAATAGTCTATAGGGGATGCTAATTGTAAAATTATTAATATAATGTTTATATAATTGATATTTAATCTCAAAAACATATTAAATTACTCCCCACCAATCTAAAGCAAATACTTACATAAAGTGGTCTTCACAAAAATTAAGTTTTGTATTTCTGCTTATATCTGATGGGTTTCGCCTTGCCAGCTTCAGCCATTTATCTCTCACTATTTTCTTGATTGGAGCGAAAACAAACAATTTATAAAGTGTTGTTATTGATGTGTTTGTGCATAGAGAAACCGCACAGCACTAGTAAATTTTGGAAGTCATTTTTAACATTCAAAATGTATAATATTTTGTAAACTTCCCTCTTTAAGCATCGGCACCGTGCGCACTGAATAAGGTCGTGACGTCACAAGTAGACGACATGACACCCACGAGCGTTTTCGCGCCTTATATGAAATAATGATGTTTTCGGATATAGTAGACGTATGACGCATTATACGACGATATTTCAAAATCTGTCATCTTGCCTATTAGCCTTAAGTCGATAATGTCAAAAACAACCCGCCTGCCTGCTTGATGTGACACGTGGCGCAACATGGCCGCCCTCCAGCAGCTGATTCCTTCAGATGTAGGTTATGTATGTTGCAGACGACTTTTTAATTAGCCTAAAGGCAGTAATTGCTTCAATAATTGCCGGGGTGCGTTATTATTAACGCTAAGGCCCTGTTTCGCTTTAGACAATGCCAGCGATATTCAGTGCGGAAAGCGACCCATATATAAATATAAAACCGGGAGTCTCACAACAATTGGCCTCATAACGTGAGTCGTAACTTTTGAAAAATGACACACTATATTACGGTGTCGCATGAAGTCTCCATAAATTCCGCGCTGAAAGGACAATTGTAACTCTTTTGTGGAAATATTCATGGAAAACCTAGAAAATCGACTTACTTGTTGATCGTGAGTCCAGTAGATGGAGGGTGGGGGTTCTGGACTGTGCTGCACCACACAGGTCAAGTTCATCGTACTGCCCTTGTTGATGTACATCTCAGGCCCACCAAGCAACGTTGTCACTGGCTCTGAAAGTACGAAAATGCCATGAAAAAATGCGCATCTCTAGGAATTTTCAAGCTCTTGCCCAAAAAAAACACTCTCTCTGCGCCCGAAATCCGCAATTAAAGCCCGACATCGTGCTGGAAAAGCTTTGTTTTCCAGCCTGAACTGAAAACGTATTTACCGACGGCTTTTCCAGTTGGCGTGGGAATTATTAACAACGCAGCGTTTGCAAGCAGTTAGCTGTAACTTTGCGCGTCTGTATGTCGGCTTTCAGTTTTTTCCCGTATAATTTTCGGTTAAAAGGATGAAGGCAGGCAACGAGCCCTCAAGCATCACTCGCTTCGCCTCAAAAAGCACAGAAGTGTGATAAGCCTATGAGGAGGCAATTTCCAATGGCACTCAAGCTGTTTTCAGTTGAATTTAGCTCGGTTATTGTGCCTTTATGGAGCTCGTTAACAGCAGCGTCGAGTCTGGAGCCTCCTCAAGGAGCTTTGAAGCTGTTTTTCATTTGTATGTCTAATAGGAGATTACTGGAAAAACCACAAAAAGCTGAAACAGTCGCAATTTCTACATCGATAGGTGATCATTTAGGAAGGGTAAAACCACAGTCGAGTGGACGTTGGTAGAAAAACTGTTGGCCCAACCAACAAGGCGATAATAATTTGAGAATAAACCCCCTGGCCGCATAGTTATTAGGGCAGGAGCCGCTGGGAAACTCCTCAATAAGCAGGCGAAGCCAAGCGGTTCAACTGAAAATTTACTGCTTACAGCAAGTTTCCTGCCCAGTTCCACTACAATATGCAGTAGAACGTTATGCAGTTCCTTCTGGAGTATCCTCACCCGACTGGACGAACTCACATCATTAAAATACACCGGGAGTTGTAATTTACTAGATAGCAATTAAATGTTTCCCGAAAACTTTGCGATTGAAATAAAATGCCGGGCGAAAGAGAGGCGGAGAGTCGATAGAATCGCGCAAAACTATGCAAAATTTACCGTGCAGCTCGCAGGGCGATCAGCTCTAATGGAAACTACCGGCAACTTTGGCCGTTTGAACGCTGAAACTTGCTCGCATTCCATCGCAACGCTAATTTCCTTTCACACTAGCAAGATTTCGCGGACTAATTGATATTTAAGCCCCAAAATACATATTGTTGTTCCCCCGTACTTCCATTAGACGACCGCCATTACCATTTGCACAGCGCTCTGGCACGATTAGCGTGTATGGAAATCCTTGGATGACGGGGAAATCGAAAATACACTGTCA